ACACTCTCCGGTGTCTAACATGTTTTACATATATTATCTCATTCAATCCTTGGAGCCTGTGAGGTGATGGTATTATCCCCACTTTGCAGATGAGAAAACCAAGGCATAGAAAAGTTACAAATTGGTCAAAGGCCAAATATACATTAATTGGCAGTAAGGACTCAAATTTTTCTCACAACTCAAGAATATATATTTCAGTACTTGTCCCATCCTACTATATACATGTTCATCTTATTTTTATGTGTGCAGGGGAGAAGGGATTTCTTAGTCACAAATGAAGTGGTAACAAGGTATTAATATTCCATGATCCCTTTACAAAATAGGACACTTCTTTCTGTCCCTTCTGACTCAGAGATAGGTGTTCACATTTCCTTTAAAAGGATCACCAAGTGTTGACACCTTTTTTTATTATGTCAATATCTCCTGTGGCTAAATTCAGTGACATTAATTGAGGGAGGAGAAAATATAGGTGAACATATCTTAATCTCTAACACTGCAAGCTTCTTGTGGCAAGGGCCACACTCAAAAGTACCCATAGGATCATAATTCTAGAGCTGAAAGGAATGTCTGTTGACATTTGGTCTAAAATGTTTATTCTACAGATTAGAAAACTGAGACCTAAACAAGGTCTGGTTAAGTAACTTGCCAAGTTGTCAAAGGAAGTAAACATCAGATCCTCAAGTCTTCTGATTGCCAAAAAAGTGTTCTTTTCACTGTCTAGGTGTGGGGAACCTGTGGACTCAAGGCTGCAGGTTCCCCACCCCTGTGCATGCTGCCTCAGAAGTATTTTGAGTCTGGAGATTCTGAGGCACAGAATTCATATCAGGAACAATTGGAACAGTGAAATATTACATGCAAAAAGAAAGAATTACATGGGGCAACTAGGTGGTAGAGTGGATAGAGTACCAAGTTTAGATTCAGGAAGATTCATCTTCTTGAGTTCAAATCTGGCCTCAGACACTTACTAGCTATGTGATCCTGAGCAAGTCACTTAACCCTGTTTACCTCAGTTTCTTCATCTGTGAAATGAACTGGAGAAGGAAATGGCAAACAACTGTAGTGTCTTTGCCAAGAAAACCCCAAATGGGGTCACAAAGAGTCAGACATAACTAAAACAACTGAACAACAACAACAACAAGGTATTATCATCTATGGTATATACGGTATTAAATAAACCATAACTATTTTATTTTAAGGATAAATTTTAATTTCTTAATTTAGATATATAAACTTTGCCTTAAAGCATTTAACAAATATACATACCTACCTGCACTATGCTAAGCATACTACCACCGAAGAAAGATAAATGAGATTCACTTAACTCATAAATCTTCCCCTGCACCACAAATTCTTTACTATATATGAGCACTGCTAATTGCAGAATTCATATTTTATAAATATTAGTGCAATAAGATGATCATGATGTAGGGCATAAATTCTTTGAAACTTCACATTTACACTAAAGTTCTATCTAGATTTAGCAATCAGAACAAAGCAAATGAAAAATCCACCTTCTTGACTTTTCTAAACCTCCTTTACATGATACTAAGCCACTTCCTCATTATTATTGAATGTTAAGGAAATGCATTTTGGTGGCCTACATAGATATATACAGTCTACAATCTGTAGTGACAAGATATTAAGAGGTACAAACCAATACCCATGATGTATTATTCACCCATTCTTAAGAGTAAGTCATCCAGGCAAACAGGAAATAGATTACCTTGATGACTCCTTTATACATAGGTTCCCAAGATAATAACAATAATTATAACAGAAAACAAAATTCATATTTACATAATCCCTTAAAGTTTGTAAAGCCTTTTCCTCATAACAATGTTGATAGCTTATGCCACCAAAGGATGAAAAGGAAGCTTCATCTTTGCATATGATAATTACCAAAATAAATATGTAGAAAGCCATTATTTTTTTTTCTGATGCTGCAATAATTATTACTAGGAAAGTTATGAGAATAACTGCAAGAGAATCTACAACATTCAATTTGATGCACATTAATCAAGTGTTTGCTGTTGAGTACAGCTCTGTGCTTGGTCCAGGAAGGAGACACAAAGATTAATTAATGTGTCAGAGGGAGTATCCACTAAATTCCTGCTCCAGTGTTGCCATGTGGTCTGAAGGTGACCTTGGGATCTTGAAGGCACTCCAGTGGAATGCAACTTCTGATAAATACCACAAGCTGGAGAATGTTTCAAGTATGGACTTACAGATGAACTTTATATCCATATTCTAAAGACTAGTTATGGTTTTTTGGTTTGTTTGTTTTTTTAGGCAATTGGGGTTAAGTGACTTGCCCAGGGTCACACAGCTAGTAAGTATCAAGTGTTTGGTCTGAGGTCGGATTAAACTCAGGTCCTCCTGACTTCAGGGCCAGTGCTCTATCCACTGTGCCACCTAGCTGCCCCCAAGACTAGTTAGGTTTTAAAGAATGTTGATTGTCAGGTAAGCTACTGGGTGATGAGTTTTCTGGCTGCAGAAACCCCTGAAGACTGCTGAAGTCACTGAGGAAGTACGATCTCTGGATTGTGTCAGTGGAAGGGATACTAATACCAGCTGAATCACAGAACCTTCAACTACTAAAGCAGAAGTCAGGTGGTGTGTGAAAAGCAGTGCCAGGTAATAGAAAGATCTGATTTCAGATAACACAATCAAACAACAGTATTAAATGCCTACTATGTGCCAGTCACTGTGCTAAGTCCTAGGGATACAAAAAGAAACAAAAGACAGTCCTTGCCCTCAAGAAGCTTACATTTTATTGGTGGAGACAACATGCAAACAAATATAGACAGAGCAATACAGAATAAATAGGAAATAATTAACAACGGGAAGTTGTTAGAATTAAGAGGAGTTGGGAAAGGCTTCCTGTAAAAGGTAGAATTTTAGTTGGGACTTAAAGGAAGCCAAGTGAGTCATAAAGCAGAGCTGAGGAGGGACAGTGATCCAGGCAAGGGAGACATCAGAAAGAATGCCCAGAGCTAAGAAAATGAGTGTCTTGTTCATGAAACAGCTAGGAGGTCTATGTCACTGGATTGAAGTGTACATGTACATGTTGGGGAGTAAGGTTTAAGAACACTGGAAAGGTAGGAGGGGGTTAGGTTATGAAGGATTTGAATGCTAAACAGAGTATTTTATATTTGCTCCTGGAGCCATATGAAGCCAGTGGAGGCTATTGAGTAGTGGAGTGACATGATTAGACCTGCACTTCAGAAAAATCACTTTAGTGGCTGAACGGAGAATGGATTTGAGTCGGGAGAGACTTGAAGCATTCAGGACTACTAGCAGACTATATTACAACAGTCCAGGCATGAGGTGATGAAGGTCTGCATTAGAATAGTGGAAGTGTCAATGAAGAGAGGGGGGGCATATTCAAGAGATGTTTAAAAGGCGAAATTGACAGGCCTTGGCAACAGATTGGATATAGGGGGCGAGAGACAGTGAAGAGTCTAGGATGACTTCTAGATTGCATGTCTGAAGTATAGTGTTGTTCTCTACAGTCACAGGGAAGGTAAGTGGGGGGAGGGGTGGAAGGGGGTTTTTAGTGAGAAAGATAATGCGTTCAGTTTTGGACATGTTTAGTTTAAGGTGTCTACTGAACATCCAGCTCAAGATGTTCAAAAGGTAATTGGAGATGCAAGATTGGAGGTCAGCAGATAGTTTGGGGCAGTATATGTAGATTTGGAGATCATCAGCAAAGAAATTGTAATTAAACCCATGGGAATTGATGAGATCATCAAGTGAAGTGGTATAGAGAGAGAAGAGAAGAGGATCCAAGACAGAAAAGGCCTGAGGGTCTTCTGTGGTTAGAGGTCATGATCTAAAGGAGGAGCCATCGAAGGAGACAGAGAAGGAGCATTCAGATAGGAAGAGAACCAACTGAAAGAATGGTGTTCTGAAAACCTAGAAAGAAGAGAGTATCAAAGAGGAAAGAGTGATCAAAAATGTCAAAGGCTACAAAGAAGACTGAGAAAAGGCCACTGGATTTGGCAACCAAGATATCATTAGTAATTTGGAAGAGAACAATTTTGGTGGAAGGAGAAAGTCAGAAGCCAGATTGCAAGGAGTTAAGAACCTAGGGGGAAGAGAGAAAGTGCAGCACGTATTATAGACAGCCTTTTTGAGGACTTTAGCTACAAAGAGCAAAAGAGATATAGGATGATAGAGGGGATGGAAGGATCAAGTGAGCACTTTTTTCAGAATAAAGGAGATATGGGCATTTTTTTTTTGGCAGTAGGGAATGATCCCATAGACAAAGATTGAAAATAAGTGGAAGACTGGGTATGACAGAGGAGACAATTTGTTGGAGACAGACTGGAATGAGATCACTTGTAAAAGTAAAAAGGAATTAAAATCCTACAATGACACCTATTTAGTTCACATGCAATCATAAGTAAGCCATTTGGCTACAGCTTCCTGGTCCCTAAATCAGAGAGAATATAATTTTAACTTAAATTCCTTCACAGAGTTGTGTGGAAAGCACTTTATAAACAATAGAGGATTCTAAAGATTAATTTTATCAATTGTAAAAATGATAATACTTAATCTGTCTCATCAAGGATTTTAAATACCAGTAGAGGAGAAAAGACAGGGACATAAATAACTGCAATACTATTAGAATTCTTTGAGTGCACAGTAGAATTTCAAAGTATTGATGAAAGATCTAAAGATGAATATTTATACTGAGTTAACAACTACTAAAGGAAAACTAAATGGAATATAGGAAAACCATTGAGATTTTTTATTCTTTTCTTATGAAAAGGGTATCATATTAAAATCCCACATACCTATTCCTTAACATTCAGATGACAGAATGATTTGAGTTTTATCAGCTTTCTTCCATTTAATGGGAACACATCTAATAGAGGCTTTACAGTATTCTATTAAAGATATACATTTTAAATTATAAATCTTAAGGTCTAGGTAAGTTTGCTGGCCTCAAAAAGCTACAGGACAAAGAATCATATGAACTGTGCTGTCTTGCTTACCTTATCTCCAAGACCAAAGAGGAATTGATTTTCCAACCTTCTACAGAGTGCTGAAAGATTGAAGATCCACCTTTTCGAATGATTTTATTAGAACTATTGACTGGTGGTCTATTGGAACACAGCTCACCATCTCTGAAATGTAAAACAAAAAATGAACTTTTTTTTTTAAAGTGAAGAAACACAATAATTTTTCAGAAATATTCCAAAATAATCTAATTTGAATTTATGATAAAATAAACATACCAGTGAATGTAACCCCAATGAAATTCATTCTATGGTATTTATAGGGATAGGGCTGACTAAAGAGAGCAGTGAGGGTGAGATGGAAATAATTATACCAGAACATAAATTCATATGTAAGACAGGAGGAATGTTAATTCTCTCTCTTCTCCACCCCCAACTCCTTTAGTTGATAAATCATAGAAAGTAATCTCTTTATGAAGTTTGGACACCTCTTCAGTTGAGGCAAATAAGCAAAACAAATTTGCCATGTCCCTAGGTTATTTAACTAGATAAACCCTGGATGAATTTTTGGCAGTTCAAGAATGGCAGAGATTTCAAACAAGGAACCGTCTGGGGAGGAAACTGTTAAGGATGCGGACAGGGAAAGAATTTCTCTCAACCATCACCCCCCTTTGCTACACCAATAACTTTGATGGGGAACTACTCAACTAGTAGGAGATCCTACATTGATTTTATACACACAAACACACACACACACACACACACACACACACACCATAAAACAGGGCTACAATAGCTGGCCAGTTAACTTGAGGGAGTAAGCAGTACCAGGAGTTGGGAGTTATCTTGACATTCTTGTATCCTACATGTGTGCCTACTTCTATTGGACTCTTTTAAGTTAAAGCCCTCTGTTCCCATGGACACTGTGTGTATTTGTAGCACTCCCTGGGTTTATGGGAAGAATGACTTACAGTTACTATTTTTACTATGTCATATTAGTATAAGATTTCACTTAGGGTCAGTTGTATGCATTGGTTGGTTGTTGATAGGAAGCATACTTGTGGAGATTCGTGAGCTACATGGTTTTAGAAGGGCCACATAAAACCTGAAGGACCTATTTGAAAACCTAAGGCATATAGTGAGGAAATAGCTATAGTGGGTGCTTACACATACTTTCTGGAATAAAGCCTTGTTTACATAAAGGAAAGGTCATTATGAGAGTTTTTAAATCATTTATTCAAATGTCTGTACTCTTCTTCCTCTACAGACAATGAAAATGACTGTATAGACACTTTCCTTCTCTTTTTGGGCTAATTAGTCTATCATTCACTCTGGTCTCAAAAAATCAGGACAATGAGAATGGTCCTGAACTAAGCAGGTGTGTGTGTATGTGTTTTCAGACACATCTGACTCTTCATGACCCCATTTGGGGTTTTCTTAGCAAAGATACTAAAGTGGTTTGCTATTTCCTTCTCTAGCTCATTTTACAGATGAAGAAACTGACGCAAACAGTGTTAGGTGATTTGCCCTGGGTTGTACAGTTAGTAAATGTCTGAGGCTACATTTAAACTCAGGTTTTCCTCCAGGCCTGGTACTCTGTCTACTGTGCTACCTACCTGCCCTCCAAACTAACAGTTCACCTCTTTGCTATTAAAGAAGAAAAGAATCAGTATTTTATCCCTGGATACTAAAATGAATCTGCCCTATGCTCAGATGTTTTCTTATTCTTTCGTTGGTATAAACATGGCTTCAGACATTAAAAAATGCAACTGCTTATGATGAGACAATGAAAAACCCTAAGATTTCTCCAAAATATACAGTTATTCCTTCATGTATTAGTGACTTTTAAAATATTTAGGATTTTAAAAACACTTCTGAAATATAAGGCAGATCTTTACACAATCTTCAAGTTATTCTCTAGTTATTATTCAGGCAAACCTCTCCTACCATCAATGGAAATTTTGCCTGGGCAACAGCTGCTGGATGAATTCTGTAATAGGAGGCTTACAGTACAGTATTTTGTTTTGCATTCTTTTTAAATGATGTAGTTAGAATTTGAAGCAGTGTAAATGAAAATCTGCAGTCAATGCCCCCTCCCAAATTTAGAGTTCTTTTAAAATTAATATCCTAAAATATCTTTACTGATGAAAATGATACATTAGCATTCCCATACATGGCTAATAATATTCACCTTATTAAGGTTGCTTGGGATAGAAGGGAACATAAGGAATAATTTAGCATTCAATGGCACTGAAGTCAATTTTTATATTCTATGCCTAATGATTGTAGATGTCCACAAATGAAAATATAGACAGACAGAAAAGAACATTTGAGCTTTAGCTGCTGGGCTTTTTTAAGACTATGAATGGCTAAGTGCAAATATATCATCAGTCTTAGAAAAGCAACACAAAAGCACACGTTCTACTAACAATAGGTCAACAGCCGAAGCAGCAGCATCCTTCTATAAGTAGAAATTATCTCATATAAAATGATGTTTGTAAAAGTGCTTAGAATGATCAAAATGTATTTTTTATCATCACAACATTCATTATGTCTCTATGGAAAGATAAAAACTGTATATGAGCAAGAACCACATTTTGCTGAATAATTGATGTCATGGGATTACCCGTTGTGATATATGTAGAATACACTGAAATACATTCATTTTTTTAATGAGAAATATTTAATAAAGAGTATGAAGGGTTACTGACCTATCATCATGGCCAGTTCAGTTGCAAGTGCACTTTTACCCCTCCAAAATTATCTTGTGTTTGTTTTGTATACATTTTATACTTAGGGAAGAGGAAAGAAATAAGGATTTATATAGTACCTACTACGAACCAGGCACCGCACCGTGCTTTATAGTATTTCACTTGATTCTCACAACAATCCAATGAATTAAGTGCTCTTATTATTCCCATTTTGCAGTTCAGGAAACTAAGGCTGACAGAGGTTAAGTGACTTGCCAAGGGGCAACAGCTAGTTAAGTGTCTGAGGCCGAATTTGAACTGAGGTCTTCCTAACTCTAGGCCAAGAACTGTATTCACTGTATTCACAGTGCTTCCAGCTTGTTATGCTCCAAACTCCCTTAATAGAATGTAATCTCCTTGAGACCAGGGACTCCTGCTTTTGTTACTGCATCCCCAATACCTAGCATAGTGCCACAGATAGCAGGTGCTTAGTCAATGCCTGTTGATTTCATGTTTTGTTCAGAGAAAATTTGAAATATTCCTAGATCAATGGATCAACAAAGTGGCATGCAGTTTAACTAGACTTTGAAGGAGTGGTTTTCTAAATCACAACACATGACAGAAAGAAGGCATTGCTACAAACTTCCTCACTATTTCCTTTTCACCACAACAATGATGTCTCAAATGGCTAGTATTAGGTGTACTTTTTAAGGTTGTGACACAGTTTTTCTCTAGAAATTTCAATTGCTCCTATAAACACTTAACTCATGATCCTGGCAACATCCTGTCTTATTAAAGAATATTTTCCTTCCAGTGCATGCTCCGCACAACGTTGCCAATCTTATTTCTTTCTCCCCAGATAAAACAAAACTTCTAAACAACTTCAGGGAACACATTTCTTGCATAAGCCTATTCTACAATATGATACAGTACACATGCCTAAGGAAAAACTAACTAAATACATCAAAGTATACAATATAAAACTATATCAGAAGAAATCCTCCCTTATACTGAGCTAAAAATAATTCATTAAGCTTGTCTTCTGTGTGGCATTGGTAACAGAAGCTAGTCATTAATCACATTACTAGTACCTAAAAATAATATTTACTTTTTGAAATATGTTTTCCATGCATCTTCACAACTTATTCAACAAAGCCTGCAACAGATTACAAATATAACACAGTAGCATACTTTTAATCATACCTTCAAATAACAAAATTTTATCCCAAATGTTTTGCATTAAAATTTGCTGCAAAACTCTTAATGAACAGTTTTCTTTCACTTGTACTTGACATAAATTCTCCACTATAAAATCAATGGTCATGTGAGTCCATAAAACTCACACAAAGATCAAATTGGCTATCCTTCTAATAATATAATGTTAAAATATCGGTATATAGTAGTAAAGGAGTACTTTTTTTTTTTTTTTACTGTTCCTAAGAACTCAATAGCAATTAGTAGAAATCCATCTTACTGTATAAGCTAATTTTGGATTTCCTGATATGCAATACTAGATCCACCCAGAAATAGCGTTAAACTAACTTTTGCTCTTAGAAGGAATACTACCCAGATAAGTGGAGAATACATATACTTGCTAATTGTACACAACATGAGATTTTTTAAGCTAATGAAGTTGAACATGAGATAAAATTTCTTAAAGAAAATAGCCACATGATGGCATAATGGACACAGAAATGATCTCAAAACCTGGCTTTTTTTTTTTCAAATCCCTCCTGACATACAGACTGTGTGATCCTAGGCATTCTAGGCAACTCTCTAAGACTCCAATTTGCAACTCTCCAAAACTCTAGTTTACAAAGAATGTACTGGCCTGCATTGGTAGAGGAAATTGCCTTATACCAATTTAATCAAAGATCTAGTCCATATCCCAGTTCCTATCCTAAAGAAAATAGTGTATTACAAAGAAATCTAGGTAGTTTATACGGGTGGACAAAATACACAGTTACAATAGCTAAACATAAGTAGCATATAATATATTTCTATTAATTTACTTGATTATTTTCCTCATTGTTAGCTTCATTTTAAAATATGCATAATATTAATAAAACATGCATAATATGCACAGTATTTATATACCACAACAAATATCTCTTATAAATATGGTATTAAAAATCCTCCCATTATGAAGACATTGGTCAGTCAACAATGTCATTGAAACATGTTACATCTTCTCAAATGGTTACTAGTTAATGGAAATCAACTCAAAGAGCATTCTAGGGAAAGTCTCTACAAGAAGTCAAAGAATTGGAGATTTGTACCTGGAAGAGATCTAGGAGGTCAAACTAATCCAAATACCCTCATTTTATAGATGACAGGTCAAGTCACACAATAGGAATGATAGAGTTGAGATTGAACTCAGGTCCCCTAACTCAAATCTAGTAATGTCTCTTCATAATGTACTGCTTTATTTATATTTACAATAACTCTAAAATTACTCCTTGGTCACAATATGCTTGTTATAGCAGCTGCTGTTCATGGAATCACCAAATTTCAGCTGGAAACCACTTCAGTAGCAAACTAGTCCAACCTATTATTCTAAGAATTCAATCTCCTCCCCTCCCCCATCCACTCTAGAACATACCTGACATGTGATTAATCAGCCTTTTCTTGAAGACCTACTGAGAGGAAAATCACTAGTTCTCAAGGAGCCGCACTCTATTTCTGCTTAGTTTTCATTGTTAAGAAGGCTTGAGAGTTTTCCTCTGAAATTAAGCCTAAATGTGCTTCTTTGCAACTTTTACTAGTCTTGACCTCAAGAGCCAAAAAACCCTAAACCAAAACAAAATAAACAAAAAAATCCAAGTCTAATTCCTCATTCATGTAACAGGCAACCTCTTGAATAAATGAAGGTAGGTGTCTAGTTTCCTCAGGATTCTTGGATTCAGGCCAAACATTCTCATTTTCTTCAACCAATCCACAAGGATTCCAGTTCTCCTCAGAATAGGCGTATTGGGAGAATAAGAGGAAAAGTTGTGTTAAGCACTCCTGTTCTCATTATTTCTCTGCTTTCTTAGCTATTTATCTTTAATAGTATTTGGAAACTCATGTTTTAAGGTGTTATTACTGACTCTAAATTGAAACACTAGACTCTCCCAGGAAAGAGACGAAGCTTTGGAGAAGGGTTTTAGACCCCAGCACACTGAAACTTTCAAGAAGTGAATGTATAATTATACTGTCTAGGGTCCCTTCCAACTCTAAACCTCAGCTCCAAGCTGTAGATGGCTCTCAGACATCCCTTACTGCCCACCTGCAATGCATGTAGTGCCCCCCAAAGGCCAGCTACTGCTTCTGTTGCTTAACTCAGATTTTGAATATTGGTGTACACAAAACTGGACCTTTCTGTCTTATTAATCTGAAACAAACAACTGTGGAAGCTCTGGGGCTTCAAGGGAGGGTTTGGAGAAAAGAGAGGAAAAACCGTCATAGAGAATTGTGTTTAGTAAAGCGTTTTAAGAGTTATTCTGTCTGTTGTAGTAATGCTGAGATTTCCAAGAAGCCCCAGGCTCTTCCCAGATCGTGCTCTGTATCACAAGTTTCAACCTTGGAGAATGGGAGAAGCCCTAGGCAAAACGGGACATCTGTCTAGAGTTGATGCCAGCAAAAATAACTCTGAGACCCTAGGAAAAACCAAGGGGGCGGCAGTGACCCGGGGCAGCAGTCAGGCAGCTGACCGGTCCTGAGACAGGGGCGGGGGACAGAGAGAAATGGGAGGAGCTCAGACTGGCAGGCAATAGTCTCGCTGCACAAAACAGTAATTTCTGGAGTTAAATAAGGAGGAGCACACATTGTTAAATCGGAGCCACACAAGCGCCTTTTCAGAACCGAAGAGAAACCTGTTTCCCCGCAACAAAAGGTTCCTCCTGATTCCCTTTGGTTCTTCCTGCTCACTGCTTTTTTTGGGGTTGTCTTCTCCCAGCTCTTGCTCTCAGGAGAGAGACACTGGTTACAGGCAAGCTCCTGTTTTCAGATAACAACACCAAGGGGAAACCGCAGCTCAGGCTCTTGAGGGTGCCCTCAGCTGCAACTGGGGCCCGCCTACGCTGCTCCCCCGGTTTGGGACTGCAGCTTCAAGTCTCGAAGCTTCTCAACTGGGGCTGAAAGAGAAGAGCACGCCTGCTGCGCCCAGGAGGAAGGGGTAGGTGAGGTACCGGCCTTAGTCTGCCAGTGAAACACGCTCCAGGCGAGCAAGTGGAGTAGTAATAAGCACACGCCGTATCTGTCTTCAGACGCGCCCCTCCCACCCTATCTCCCCAGTGGAGAGAGCCATATAGACCGCACACCCCCCTGGTACTAAAGCCCTTTCGCAGTTATTTCCAGTTACAAAAGCTTGACTTCCCCTAGGTGTTCCCAAGGAGAAAGCAAGACCTTCTCCATCAATGGAAATCTCCTCACTCTCCATCCTTTAGTTTTCCAGAGACCCCCTTTGTTTGTTGGAGAGACAGGTCTGCAGGGTTTACCCCATACTCTCCGCCCACTGCCTCCACCACCACCCCCTTCATCAAAAGCGTCCTCTTTGTCAAATGCTTTGCGCTGGGTTTGCTCTTTGCGCTACCCTCTCCCCCGGTAGACACATACTCTTGCACCCCACCCCACCCCCGCCCAAATCTATCTTTTACACATTTTAGACAACCAAGCCTATCAAACCTTCTTCTTCCCCCTAGCTACAACATTTCTAATACACTGACTTCCTTATAGACTAGCAATGTCTGCCTAGACGAATTCCCCCACCTCTTCTCATCCTCTTAACTTAGATTATTAGTCCTTTGAGAGCAGCTGTCTATGCCTGGTAATAAAGTGCACGAAGTTTGGTGTGTGTATAGGGTGGAGGGGCCTTAGCACTCCTTAACAGGGACACATAAAGTGTGGCTTAAACTAAGGATTTCTCTCTGGGTAAAAGCTGAGAGAATTAAGAAACTACTAGCAGAAATCTCTACTAACAAGGAGTTTCTGAGGTTAGTGGTCTGAAGAAGACTGTTTCTAAAAATGGATTTTAACTGTTTTTACAGCCAAGGTACAACAGCAGCAAAGTTGAAATAACCTCTTGGGTAAACCTGAAAGTCACAAAAACGGTGAGGAAGGAAGGGCAACACTAAAATCAAGAGACCTTGGAATGTTCTTAAACCATTTGTCCATTTGAATGAAACGAAGAAACTGAAGAAAATGATGCTATTTTGTAGCGTTCTGCGTCCCAGTTTTTAAAGCTGATACCAAGATGGTAACATCTTTGACATCTTTACACTTTCTTTGAAAGTGTACTAGCAGTAAACTGTTAGTTTACTAGAGATACTAGCAGTAAACAGAAATTCTGGTACACAGAGATACATAGGAAGAAGGAAGGGAGCAAGCAGAGGGGAAAGGTAGTCTCTACTTTTTTGAGTTTGAAAGCTCATCAACTCAGCAACGTATTTCCTCTGTGTACACAGAGGGCAAGGTAAATAATGAGAACTCACTTAAATTCTAACTCTAAGGTTAAAGGGGAGTCCTTCTACTAACTTCTTGTTTACACCAGTAGTTACTTCTCCTTTGACTTCTTCAGGCATTAAGACCGCACATGCACAGCTGAACTACTCCTAGAAAGGATGTGGGGACAGGGGAAACACACATTTGAGCAGGAGCCTATTTTGTTGAAGAGGCTAAACAGACACAAAATACACGCACACACACACACACACACACACACACACACCCTCTCCAGCTGTTCATTCTTCTACATTATCATGTCTTCTATCGCTTTTGTTAGACCCACACTTTGCATTTACCCTATGAGTTGCGTTTCCTGATGCTCCTCCGTTCTTGCTATTTCTTTTGTCTTATAAACGATCAGGAGGATACTTATCGTGCAGATCGTCCACCTCTTCCTGATGGAGCGCATCTTGCCAGCCCAGGGAAATCCTTTTTTCCCCCCTTTTACACCTTCGCTCTGCATAACGATTCCGTTTGGTGTTAGGGGGGAGGATGAAAATCTATAAAATGAGAGGGAAGCCCGGAGCTCCGATCACAAGAGATCAGGGACACAGAAGACAGTGGCAGTGGCAGTGGCAGTAGCTGCTGCTGCTGCTTCTACGGCGGCGGCGGCGGCTGTTTCTCGCATGCTAGTGAAGAGGTCGGAGGTTTCCAGTGGCACCCTGGCTCTGCTCTGGGTCCTGGGGCGTTCCCTACTGCTCCGCGCCTGTCTCACTCATGCTCTCCTTTGCTTTCAGATTCAACACCTTTTGCAACTGAGGTGGCCGAGGCTGCAGCTGGGCTCCCGAACGTCACTGGCCCTTCCCTTTTCCTAGCAGGGAAATGATGAGCAGAAACCAGCCAATCGCCGGACGTAGGGGGCGGAGGCTGCTGATGCCTCCGTTTGCGGGCCGGCCGCTGTTTTTTTTATAACTGTAACATTGCCTTTCTCTCTTATTGTAGCACTGACTGAGAAAGAAAACTGCTACACAGCTTTAGCAAACACATATAAGTGTCAGAATCAACTCCTTAGAAGTTTTTAGACGTTCTTTCTGGAAGTACCACTCAGATTCTGAGACAATAGGGAATAGTAATCTTTTTCTCCCTAAGGATAAGTTTATGAGATCCCATCTAAACTTCTAAAGAGAATAGAGGACTCCCACCAGGGGAACAGACATGAGAGAGCTGTCTGGTGGGCAGCAATTTAAAAAGATTTTTGCAGTTTGCGGGGAGATTCTTCACTAAAATGTCAATCAAACCCTAATTTTGATTTTATAGAAAAGTGAACATGGCCAAGAAATAATGGGGAAATGTAACCTGTAACTTCATACTTCATATTTAAATACATTTTGAAACCATGTCACTAACCTAATCTACACTGATCCTGTCATACACATTTCACTCGTCTCATCCTTTTCTTTCACTGTCAATTGAATACGGCATAGAGGACCGTATTCCACAAGGTCTGCTCTGAACCCATGTGAATTCCTCCTGGGACTAGCCTAATAAAAAATAAGAGAGTTGGGGTCCCTCATTCTCTCTGGCTCATTATGCCTCTCCCTGTATTAGAATTCTGAAGAAAATATCTAAGAACAAAGCTTAGGTATAGCTCACATCTAGGGTCTCCCAGAAAAGGATTAACAAAATTACTTCTAAAATAGGTACTTAATACACAGAACAGATATCAGGCATAGGACAGAAATTTATTTCTTCTACCGTAAGTGAAATGCTTAAAACAGAAATGATACATTAAAATACACATTAACAAATACATAAAACATAAAATCATTATCCTCATCATCATCTCCCTAAATATATTTTGTGAATATACTTACTTCCAAGCAATTCAGTCTAGACCAATCCAGGCATGGTTCTTCATGGTTCAACATGGGCTTGTTGGAGGTCATTTCCTTTTAGAAGTCATGTAGTTTTAGGAAGCACCTCCTGATAGACAGCTGGCACTGACTCAACAACTTCTGATTTCTGGATCTCCTGAAGTTTCTACTAGGTCTGAAAAAAAATGTCCATTTTTTAGAGTCACCATTAAGGGGTGTGGGTACGGGGAAAGAAATGTAAAACACAACAGGCAGCCAGAGGCTTGGGGTTCAATTTCAGATGTACTTAATTTTTTTATGCCTGGTGCTTCACCAGCTAGAAGCCATTGGCATTGTAAAGGGGAATGGAGAAATTCCCTTCCCCCACCTTGCTAAAGTCCAGGAAAGAGGTGCTTGGGTTTCAAAGCTACAGGCTCAAAAGAGAGAGGGGCGGAGTCTTTCAGTATAAATTATTGCCTATTGAGGGATTGATTCTTCCTGACTCGGTTAGCGATCATCTTCAACAGAACTCCCCCAGTAATGGGGATCAAAAGTCCAAATAGGAGCCACTGTGTTACACAAATTTCTCTCCCCCTGTGTTGTGCAATTCTCCCCTGAAAGGAAATAATGTACATGTTCAACTCTAGATATAGATCCTGTTTTCTCTGTTTCTTGCTTTGTGCAAGAAAAAAAAAATCAAAGGGGACATTTACTATATAAAAATTCAATCTTGCAGAGTACATCTTGCTGGTCCAAGAAAATCCATATTTTCTTCATGTTACAAGTTCTCTTTTGCATAGGCTTTTATTGTATTATGATGGTTTTGTCTGCTCTGCTTTGGGCTTTTTTGTATATTTGTTTATTTTTTAAGAAGAAAGGGTAAGGGGATGATTGGAGCTAAAAATCAATGATGCTGCATGTAGTGATGTCCAAGATTGCTGCTGTCAGCTCTGCTAAACTGGGCCTAAATTTTTACTGTTCCCAGTCTCTCTGAAGAGACTTAGCTCTTAAATCCATTCATGAGCATTTCTCTATAGAGTTGATAGATGTCAACCAGCTCCAGAAAAGTATGCATTTGCCAGTCTTCTCAAGGAACAGGGACCACCCAGACCCAAGATAGGTTTGTTTATTCTACTATCTTCAAAAACATCTTTGCTAAAACTATACTGTTCCTGCCATAATATCTTTGATTTTCTGACATGATTATTGGTTCTAAGATCCCCAAACTGTTTCAGTATTGTCCTCACAGCTTATGGTAAGTGATTATGAAGCATTATTAACACTACAAGCAGCCCATCAGGACCTTTTCAGATTTATTGATGCTTAAACAAATCTTCAAGCCTTTGTGCATTTCTGTTTCAGTGTCTTTTTTTTAAGAGAATAAACTAGGAAGATAACAACCTCAATGTTCAGGTTAAATTATTACCCAGAAAGTGGGACTAATAAGAGGGTCGAGGGAAAGGCAATTCAAAGTTTAATAGGAAGCCAAAACATTGTGTAGATAATATTTTGGCTTTCCTCAAATGCAACCTAACACCAAACCCTGAAATATACAAACACAACAGTTCAACTGTAAGGGGAGACAAAGGTCTACATCCTTCAATCTCATAAAATTAATTAGGAGTTTTCCAGATTAACCTAAAGGAAATCTGGTATATTGGATAGAGAGTTAGTCTTGGAGACAGGAAGAAGAGAAGAGGTTGAATACTGCCTCAAATCCTTTTTTATCATGTATCCCAGGGCAAGTCATGTAACTTCTCAATATTTCAGTTTCTTCATCTGGAAAATGAGGGAGGTGGATTTGATGACTCTAATTCTATGATCATGTGACTCACCCAATACACGCATGTGCGCGCGCGCGCACACACACACACACACACACACACACACAAACACACACACCTCAGACACTGGTGTGAGGTGTGAGTGGAGTAACTTTCTAAGCTAATGAGAAGGTTTCAAATTTGAATTTGTTGAAGAATATAAAGGTTTTCAGAATATTGACCTTTAATCAGTCTTAAAAGAAACTCTGGTAGAGTTGCAATCACTCATCCCCAATCCTACCCTTTCAAAACAATCACAAAAATGCTCAAACCCACACCAGGGACTAACTATAGGAACCTCTCAGAGTAGGCAAATTTAAAAATTCCAAAGAGGAAAAAAAATGTATAATCCCAGTCTTGGGTAAACTGATTTCACTGACATGCAGTTTCTCTCTAAAGAAACAAATTCCTTGCAGTGGATAGAGCACTGGCCCTGAAGTCAGGAGGACCTGAGTTCAAATCCAACCTCAGACCAAACACTTGACACTTACTAGCTGTGTGACCCTGGGCAAGTCACTTAACCCCAATTGCCTAAAAAAAAAAAAGGGAAAAAAAAGAAACAAGTTCTTCTGAAATGTATAGTCTTATATATATGCCTGGGGAGCTGAGAGATTAAGGGACCTGCCTATGGTCATACAACTAGTAAGTGTCAGAGCTAAGACTTTAACCCTGGTTTTCTTTACTCCAGAGTTTTCTCATTATTCACTACCCCATATTGCCTTACTAAAAGAAAGAAAAATCTTATAATTTTCTACTACAACATTTTGGGGAAAATGGCATAAATGTATTCTACTGCTTTGCATTTTACATTAAGATGAACATTTCTGAATAGCTAATATATCAGCAAAACTATCCAGAGATTCTACTTCCGGTATCATGAACATTTGCTGTTTGGAGGAGTTTTGTTTCAACAGTTTAATATGCATATTCATAGAATAAGCACCCAGCACATTTAGGATTTCAAAATGAATAAAGATGTAGTTCAATACTGAGTCATAGTTGCAGGAAATCCTGTACAACTCAGCTTGCTGTTGTACTGAAGGTGGCTATGAAGACTGGGCAAACTTGCCAGCCCACAAAATGATCCGTTAGTACTCACCACCTCCAATATTATGCCAATTTTCATGAAATTAATCAATTCTGGTTTGCTTTTAAATTATCCTTCCTCTTTTCAGACTGCCAGATCTTCAAGACAGTGATACATTTGTATTTATTCAGCACAATTTTTCAATTATACAGCATCTTATAAATAAATGATGTGAATAATAATGGCAGTTGGTTAAAAACAACAACAAAAGGCTATCTTATTTGTTAACATTACTTTTTAATTCCTGGCAGTGCATTTCAGTAGACCTGGGGGATGGGGGTTTGGAGGGAGAGGAAAATACACACTCCTGTTTCTTCAGTGTATTTCTTTCTTTCAGTTTTTTAATATAATCAAAAATAGACACCTAATTTGAAGGCATTCAAGGCCTTCCACAATCTGGCTCTAATCTAACTTTCTAGCCTTGTGCCATGGCACTTCCCTTAATGTATTCTACCTTCCCAGGCAAATTCAATTACTGAGCAATACTCCCTGATCTCATTCAGCCCTCTCCAGATCTAGGTCTCTAGGCTGTCCAAAATACCTGAAGTGGGTATGACTTTTCCTTTTCCCTAATCTTCACCCATTGACATACTTCTAATCCTTCAAGGCTGAACTTAGATACCATGTTCTCCATGATTTCTTCCTTGATCTGCTCAGCTAGAAATGTTCTCTATCCTTTTTTGAGATATACAGACTTCACTTTTTTGGACAGTCTATATATTAAACAATTTTCTGACATAATACGGTTATTTGTGTTCCTTTCTCACCCACAATTAAATTGCAAGTTTCCATAGTATTTTATTTTTCATCTTTGTAGCTCTAGGACTCCTCACAGTACCTTATGTTTATGAGTTAATTTATTTGCTGTAGCAGAAACACGTCTTATATATAGGTTGGACTGATCTTTTAAAAGGACAAGAGGCCATTTGGTTTTCTTGCCACCTGAGGCAAGAAAAGTTTCGGGCTATAACAAGTTGGTATAGGTTTTACCTGAGTTCCAACTACCCTGTGGGAAATGCCTTCCTGCCATAGCATTGTCAGTTGCCACCAGGGATACAGAGACAAAGGGGGGTAGCCTTGT